CCCAGACACTGCTGTTTCTGCTCTATGACTGACTTTTGTTTATGTCTGAAATTCTCTACAATAAAAAGGATGGATAAACTTGCCCAAGGTCACACAGATAAGTAACAGACCCAGAATTTGAATTCAAGTCTCTTAGAAAAGACCCCACAAAAACTCAAGTTCAGATGGTTTCCATCACCTTGGCAAACTCCTGGCAGTGATTCTTCCCCCATACTGAAGAGCTTGCTCTTAAGCTCATAATACAGATCAGAATGCTATAATTTGCATGTCATTTGCTTTTTCCCTAGGGCAAACAACCTAAACTAGAAATAAAACTAACTAGTAAGTAGCATACAAAAGTAATATGCTTTGGCCCTGAAATGATACCAACTAGCTCCTATGTAGAGAAATAGTTTGGTATTTTGTGAATAAGGAACTTGACTTCTCAGTCTGTTAATTGAGCCCCCTGCGGTTTTTCTGAATGAAAGCTGTGAGAAACTGTTCTAGATATTTTGCTGCAATCCATTAGTATTTTAAGGCAAATGAGTCTTTCATGTGGACAAACACTGCAAGAGCTATTATTCTAGGAAATTGGGTGCTTGCAAAATATCCGGTTGTTGAAGGGTTGAAACAGTTACAGTTCAAGAGAACCACGTCAGGAGGACTCCAGAGAGGTAACCTTAATGTTCTTGACAATTGTGTTATCAAGAACAGTATGTTGGACGAAATTTTCTTTCCTGAGATAAGTGAGTCTGACCAATTCACTTCTATAGTGCCTAATACATGCGTAGGGAGGAAAACAGCTTTTCTGTTTTTCTGTGTGCCTTTATGTTGTTTTCATTTGACAGTCAAGCTTTCTGACTGGTAGAAGTGAAACACTGAGCACTTGATATTTGAATTATAAAGGACCACTGAACAGCAGACTTCCAATGTTCAAAACATTAAAGGCTTGGCGGGAAATTTCAGGATGTAATCTCATGAAGATTATTCATAAAAATAGCTCTTTTGGTCAAAGCTGAATTTTGTGAATTGGCTGGGCAAGGTAGCTCAGGCCTGTAATCCCAGCACTTTGGGAGGCTGAGGCAGGCAGATCACTTGAGGTCAGAAGTTCAAGACCGGCTTGGCCAACATGGCGAAGTCCTGTCTTTACCCAAAATACAAAAATTAGCTGAGCATGGTGGGGCACACCTGTAATCCCAGCTACTCAGGAGGCTGAGGGACAAGAATCATTTGAACCCAGGAGGTGGAGGTTAGAGTGAGTGGAGATTGCCCCATTGCACTCCAGCCTGGGGGACAGAGTGAGGCTGTCTTGGAAAAAAAAAAAAAAAAAAGAATTTCATAAATTGTCAACAAATTCACCAAATATCCCGGTGCAGGGATAGTACTGGGAGGGCTGGGGAATCCGTAGCCACTCTAGTTATTAGTGATTTTTCAGTTTCATCACCCAAGTTAGGACCCCAGAGGTTGACTGGGAAAACGAATTAGGGCAAAAATTGAAAACAAGGATGCAAAGCAAATGCTCTGGGTAGAGTGGGGACAGGAAGCTGGAGAGAAAGGCTGAATGCTGGCGAGAGAGCAAGAAAAAGCCAGGCAGAAAATGACGCTCCAGGCAAGCGGTCCTTATTGGGGAGCAGGTAGAGTGGCAAGGAGTTGCTTGGCCAAAAGACGCCCATGAAAGAGGCTTCACGGAGTCAAACACACTCAGGGAGCAGAAACACCAAGAGTAAGAGCTCCAGGGAAAGGCCAAAGCAATTCAGGATGAAAGAGAGAAATACAGAGAAACATTCAAATAGGATACTTTTCCACAAGTTTTTATTCTTTAATTCAAACCTGCCCAGTCCCTTGTGCAAGTGTTTTTTTGTTTTGTTTTGTTTTTTGTTTTTTTTTGAGACAGAGTCTTGCTTTGTCACCCAGGCTGGAGTGCAATGGTGCGATCTCGGCTCACTGCAACCTCCGCCTCCGAGTAGCTGGGATTACAGGCATGTGCCACCACACCTTGCTAATTTTTTTGTATTTTCGGTAGAGATGGGGGTTTCTCCATGTTGGTCAGGCTGGTCTCCAACTCCTGACCTCAGGTGATCTGCCTGCCTCAGCCTCCCAAAGTGCTGGGATTATAGGCATGAGCCACTGCACCCGGCCTCGCGCAAGTTTTAAAATCCTTGGTCCCATTTTATCTTGAGACACTGGCTTGCTCTAGTTGCTCAGGCTGGAGTACAGTGGCTTGATCCTAGCTCATTGCAACCTCCGTCTCCCTGTCTCAATGATTCTCATGCCTCAGCTTCCAGAGTAGCTAAGACTACAAGTGTGCACCACTACACTCCCCTAATATTTTTCTATATTTGGTAAAAATGGAGTTTCCCCCTATTGCCCAGGCTAGTCTTGAACTCCTTACCTCAAGCCATCCATCTGCCATGGCCTCCCAAAGTGCTGGGATTCCAGGTGTGAGCACTGTGCCTGGCCCTAGTCCCATTTTAGTTACTCTGTTTTAGTTCTCTGAATATAATCTGCATTTAGTAATTCCACTAGGACCCTGCAAATCTGATTATTTTTGCTGATTCTTATTATGGTGGCTTGTTCCCTCACATACCTGACTGTGATGATCCTCAGAGGTTTAGCAGGGATAATTATTTGAGGACTGGGGTTAAGATGTGTTCTTGCACAGATAATCTGTGCGGGCCTCTGCCAGATACTTGCGGCCCGCATCAGTTGGAGATTGCTTTAAGATCCCCATTTGATTTTCTGAGCAGTAGAGGTAGCATAAATTGTTCTAAACCTGCTTGAGGAACAGTGTGTAGATTGAATTATCAGGAGACCCTCCCTTGTGCCAACACAAGACACCCTCTCTCCCAAAGCCCCTGAGTCAGACCCAAGCAGGCAAGTGTTTGTTTCTCTGAGGCAGGTTTTTTTTTTGTCAAGTTTGTCCTTTTACTGAAGGGGACACCTTTTGGGTTCCAGGCTTTCCGGGTCTTGATAAAAGTTCCTACTTCTGCTCAGAGATCAGAGGTTACAGGAACTGACACATACCCTTGGTGCTCCAGCACTGCGAATCACCTGAATTTCTGTTTTGTTTTCCTCTCAGGAATTCCTTCTTTCTTGCTAGCTCAGCTATCCATTAGAGATTTTAAAAAAGTTCTATCCAGGTTTGTATTGAAAGGGCTCTCAAAGAATCTGGTTTGCTACCTTTTTAGAAACAGATGTCTCCCCCTTAGGAACAACGGCTTCCTCTCTCCCTGAGGTCTGCATCATCGGGCATGAAAACAAAGAGCTTTACTGGCGGAAGCGCATGTTGGAGATTATTTTGATTAAGCCCTTTAATCACAGAAAAGGAAGCTATATCCCAGAAAAACGACTTGCCCTACTCCTTACCAAGTCAGTAACAGAGCTGAGACTGGACTTCCCTCACATTGCTCTTCCTAAGGAAAACCAAAGTGTAAGCAAAGATGGCGTTCTCTGAATAAGCCAAAAAACAAAAACAAAAACGGAATTATACTGAAGTTCTTTAACTTCATAGATAGCACAGGAGCAAAGACACAGAGCTAAAGGTGATTCAGCTGTAAAAACCTGACTTCTGGAACAAAGTTCAAAAGAAGTGTGAACTGTACCAAAGTCATACCTGTTATTTGCAAACAGATGTTCAGATGTGGGAAATGTTCTAAGTTCCAAAAAAATAAACTGGCTTATCATTACATAAAAAAAAGTTTATTTTAGAAATCACATATCTATAAAAAAAATAACAGAGGGTATAAGTTTGTACCTTGACCAGATATTATTCATTGTTTGAATGGCAGAGTGTTGCATGGTACAATTAACGAGATGCAGATACCAAGTCCATATAATATTCCTGGCATTTACACCAGGCTCAAAACATTGTGACCTTCAAAAGGAAAAAAAAAAAGGAAAAAACAAACCCCAAAACATAAACCAGCTATTTTTGAAACACATAAAAGTATCTTGATCTTTTAAAATATAGGTCCTGAAACTACAGAACCACTGCTGAGACGACTCCAAAAACTATAAAACGTGGGCATTATTTTAACTCATGAACAACTGAAAAGATCTAAGGGAGTGCTGTGTGGTCATTTCAGTATGTGAGCCAATGTAGAATGGTATGGAAACATTAAATCTCCGTTTTACAGTTTAATAGGCCGAAAGCCAAAGAGAAAAAAAAGTCCGAAAAAAGAAGTGGGGAGATTTGTAATGCTTTTGGTACAACCGGTTATCCTTGGTCCTATTAACTAGGTGTCTTTTAGCCTTACAAGAGTAGCATTCACAGATGGCCAAGTTCTAATATCAGAAAATCAGGATGCAAAATACAACCGGAAATTTACACTCACTATGGAACAAAAAATATGGCTCTTTGGGAATCTGAGCTAAAACCCTGTGATTTAACACGTTAAGATGCTTAAGACAATTTTACAGATCAAGGAGTTAAAACAATTCACAAGGATGACTAAAGCAGAATTTTTACCCAATAACTTCAGTAAGTTCCTATAATGTAAAGCAATTACTTTTACTTCAATCTATTTATTATTCTTATCAAATGATCCCAGATTATATTTCTAGGTACTCCTACCCAGATCATAAGGTATTTGTTTTTTTGGGATAAATATAAAGCAAAGTTTATGTTTGTAGGAGGGGAATTCAGGGTTCTCTGACTCAGCTAGAGCTGAATCCAGAGAAATATTGTTATCTTCAAAAAAGTTTCAAGAAAAAGAAAACTTGTATCAATTGGTTAATTCCATAAATCTTCTGAGAATGCAGTTACTATGTGCATCCATGATGAAAAGTTACAGTTCATGCTGAAGAGAACTGAAAAAATTAAGTCAATCATTACTAATTATTCATGAAGATAAACAATACCTGAGGGCAACAGCGTGACCTAATTTAATTAGATGGATACGAAAAACAAGTATTGCAGGTATTGAAAGATAATGTGGGCAGTTATGTTGAAAGATACTGTTCCTATAAATCGTCAGGAAAAATTGGCCATTAATTTTATTGAAGTGAAAAATATGTAACACTAAAGTTGCAGATTTGAGCTTTATTATCAGAATAACATCATTTCAGGACAGAATTGAGGGATTCTCTAAAATGCTCCTGATATGGCACAACTCTGGGGTCTCAGAGCTGCATGCCTACTTATCTGTTCAAATATACCTGAAAAGGAAATACACAAAGGGTTTGGCAGAACAAGAAAGCAAGCTGACAAAAGAAACCAAATGAAAATTCCTCATGACAAAAGCACTTTAATACCCTATCCTTCTTCAATCAAGAGATCAAAAGAAATGGCAAGGCCTGTATTTACAAAACCGATGAAAATCACACTGTAATAATCAGTGAATGTAGAACTGCACAGGTCTGTGTTTCCAACTTTTTCCACCATGATTCTACATCAAGGTAAAAAAAGATTCTTTTATACAAATCCAAGAAGGATGTGGACAGAGGTGGCAGCACAACTGCCAAAGATGGTGCACTGACTTACGACCGCAGCTGGAGACAGGACGTGGGGGAGGAGGGCAGAGTTCTCGAGAAAGCCCCCTGTGGAGAGGGTGGCTCAGTCGGTGGTGGATCTCCGGTACCAAAATCGTGCTCTGAAGTCATCGCTGCACGTCATGAACCCGGGGTTGGTGGGGGAGTGCACTATGCAGCGTACAATGTTGTTGTGCCCCAAGGAGAGCAGGTTTCTCCGCTCGGCCGTCCTCGAGTCCCAGCAGCAGAGACTGATCGTCCTCTCGTCGGGCAGCAACACATAGTCCTCGGTGTGGTTAAACACAGCCTGCGTCCGATGCACCTGGCGTCCACTCAGACCCGCGCCTGCCACAGAGACCGAGAGGGAGAGCTTGCTAAATCCACATCTTAGACCCTCAGAACATTCTAGCATTCAGTTCAAAAGCATTTTAAACCTGTTGAAGTGATACACCTTGTACACTTTCAGAAACTCTAAAAAAGTACAAAAAAGAAAATCAAACCAGGGACAGTGGCTCATGTCTGTAATCCCAGTACTTTGGGAGGCTGAGGAAGGAGGACTGCTTGAGCCCAGGAGTTCAAGACCAGCCTGGGTAACAGACAACAGAGAAAGAGCAACACAGTCTCAAAAAGAAGATAGGCCCATCACCTGAAGCAATACTGTTACTGTCCTAACGTACTCTGAGGCATAAAAACACATTTTTATTATAGTTTTAACCAACTTTATGTTGAGTACATTTTTCCACGTTTTTTACTAGACGCAAAGTGCCTCATGTTTAGAAGCACCATTATTTATTTAACAATTCTTTTACTGCCTGACATTTAGTTTGTATCAATTATAAGTAATGTAATGAATATCCTTTATACAGAAAGCTTTATTTCCTTAGGAGTAAATTCCTAGAAATAGAATTATTGAGACAAAGTACAGGAGTATCTATCCAAAAGGAAGCCTTTTTATGACTATGAATAAAATACATATTTTTATGTTTAAAGTACCATATAAAAAGGAAAATAAAAACTGCTTGATGATTGCACCAATCAGAGGTAATAGTCAATATTTTGGTGAATACCCTTTTGAAATACCTAAGTGTTATGTGGTCACTTGTAAATTTTTTTTTTTTTTAAGATGGCGCTTCACTCTGTTGCCCAGGCTGGAGTGCAAGGGCTCACTGCAACCTCTGCCTCCCAGGTTCAAGTGATTCTCCTGCCTCAGCCTCCTGAGTAGCTGGGATTACAAGCATGAGCTACCATGTCTGGCTAACTTTTGTATTTTTAGTAGAGATGGAGTTTCACCATGTTGGCCAGGCTGGTCTCAAACTCCTGACCTCAGATGATCTGCCCCTCCCCGTTGGCTTCCCAAAGTGTTGGGAATACAGGTGTGAGCCACCGCGCCTGGCTTCATTTGTAAATTCTTTAAGTCAGAGCATATGTCATAAACTATTAACATTGAAGCATATGTAGTACAGATCTGTAAAGACAGAATACAGCTTAGTGGATAAAACCACAAACTCTGTGGTCAGATGTGGGTTCCACACTTACCAGTGATGTGAACCTGGGCAAATTACTTAATATCCCTCAGCCTTAATTTTCTCATCTTTCCATGGGCAAATGACAGAAGCTACCCCCTAAGGCTATGAGGATAAAAAGAAGAGAATGCACAGGAGGCTTTGTAGTGCAAGCGCTCAGCCAATGTTAGCATGCACACTGATTTTAAAGGTGCATGTTGTCCATGGATGCATAAAGGATTTCCTCAGTGCTTCTTAGTGGACATTTATGCTGTTTCCAACTTTCGGCCACTCCAGATGATGCTGGGATACACAACCTTTCATGGGCATGTACCTGCTTGTCCAATTGCCTTGTTAGGTTGAATTTCTAAGAGTGGTACAGTGGGTCAAAAAGTATGTATTTAAAATTTTGATACGACACCAAACTGTGCTGAAATATTTTACTGCTGACTCTGACCAACAAAATATGATTATTTCCTCAAATCTCTATCAATACTAGATAATATAAATCTTTAAAATACCTAAAATCTGATGAACAAAACCAGGTCCCCATATTCATTTCCTGGGTCTGCAGCGAGGCTGGCCACCTTCTCTAGTATTTACTGACCATTTTTCTTTTATAAAGCAGCCCCTGTCCTTTGGCTCCTTCTCTCTCTAGTTTGGGCTCATCTTTTTCCTATTTGAGTCCTCTTTATAGATTAAGGATATTAACTCAATGACTAACATCTGTATATACGCTATGGCTATTTCCCCCAGTCCTGCCTTTTGATTATTTATAGTGTTTTTAGTTAAGTTTTAACGTCCCAATTTCTAATGTTTTCTTGATAGTTTTTCTTTTCATCGTTTCAAAAACCCTTAGAATTCTAACTAATTATTAAAACTAGGAACAAAAATCTTAACATGCTGACATGACAGGGGCTTGAGCTGTGAAATGACAAAAAATGAAGAGGGGAATTTGCCTATAAATTTAGCATAATCACATTTTCAAAAAACCACACTGCTATTCCCCACTAAAACAAGCCAATCAATCTCATACGACCATAAAACATCCAAAACATTCCTACAGCAAATATGTAAGCTCTTGTTAGTAGACTGGTGGGTATCTGTCCAGATAAAGCACATTCCTTGAAATAGTTATAACTTCTAAAAGGGGAGTACTTTTCACATTTACTCTGATCACTTTTGTATCTTTTTGCAACACACATATAGTTCTTTAATAATACTTTCCAGAACAACTGTATATCATTGTTTCAATGAAGTCACCAAGAATTACGATAAAAACGGCTCTTCCTAAGATTTGCTAGTTGTACTAGAAGCCAGAAAGATGGCAGGGAAGCAAACTGGTTGCAATGAGACAAATCTAAGGCAGATTATGCTGCCCTCTAGTGGGTCAGATGTCACCGACTCTTCAATGCAAACAACACAGTCTAGTCCAATACTGTTTTCCTGCGATTTTAAAATTTTTTTGAGTTATGCTCCTGGCAATTTTAGTGCACAATACAAACATAACTCAAAATAGAGGAAACAATCAAATTTTCTGAAGGCTTTCTACCGAACAACTGTCTTTGGTGCTACAAGGAACAGAAGACACAGTGTTTTAACATTCACTATCAAATAACCAGACTTGGGCCCTACTAGTGATAGGATAAATTTAAATAGGTTTCATTATAAAAAGATTCCACAGGTACAACTGTTACCAATGAGACCAACAAAAATTAGTAAGAATTCAATGGATACCATTTTTTTGTCTGCTGAGCCTACTTTATACTTGCATTCAGAACGCATGTGGTTTCCTTTGACCATGGGCTAAGATTTTACCTTTCAGCCATCTTTCCCTAATGTATATATTAATAATACCGATCTACTACTTGAAGCTTTTTCTCTGGATTGCTTTCAGGTTTCTGTGGGAAGAGGGCAGGCCAAGCTACAAATGGACCACCAGGTTCTCAAATGTTACTTGCGTGGAATCCAGACCTAGTCCATGATAGAAGGCGCTTAAAACAGCAAAGTTAAGAAAGCATAGTTCTATTTCCAGCTCTCTTACGAACTGTAGCCTTGGCTAAACGGCTTCATCTCTAAGTCTGGGTTTCCTCTGATCTAAGAAAGGGGTAACAACATCTGCCTTAGGCTTATTGTGTTACTCTATTGTGAGGTCCTAAAGGAGAGTTCTCGAAAGTGTAACACTACAGAAACATTAAGTAACATCAACTTCTCACATACCAGTGTATCTGACCAGTGTTCGTCCTGTTGATATTTCCCAAAGTTTAGCTACAGAGTCTTTTCCACTTGAGAGAATGTATTTAGAATTTTTGGAAAAAATGGCAGAACAAACTTCAGCCCCGTCGTGTGCTTTTTCAAAAGTTGTGATGCATCGATTTGAAACACCATCCCATAATTTGATGCAGCCATCTTTGCTTCCAGTTACGTACATATTGGCACTAGAATTGTAATTAACGGAACATATAGCATCGGTGTGTTGATCTTGAGGATTGCAAGAGACAAAACATTGAAAGGTGTTGATATCATATAGACGAAGAGTAGGATGCTGAGTTCCAACAAGTATAAAGTCTCCAGAAGGATGAAAAGAGATGGAGCGTAACATTTCAGCTTCCTGTTAGGACAGAGACATTAACACAAGTGATCAACTGGTGAACAATTAAATCCAGAGGAAATGTGGAAAATATCTGGCTGATGAAAAAAGTCCATAAAACAATGATTAGATATTACAGAGGTATTGTAATGAATAAAAGCACTTTCTGGAATACATCAAAGTATTTTTTGAATATATTTCCAAAACTAAGTATTTACTGGTTATATTCCAAAAACTACAGAAGTGAGCTTCATTATTTGTAAAAGAACACTGAGTGAACTCAGGATGGAGTATTATCAGACAATGACACACTCATGTATGGTTACTGAAGGTAAGTACAACTTGTACCTAAGGGCTTCTTTAATTTGCTCTAGGACTGCAAATATTGAGTAAAAAATTAAGTTTGTTATTATTTTTTGCAGATGGGGTCATGCTCTGTCACCTAGGCTGGAGTGCAGTAGCATGATCACAGCTCATTACAGGCTCAACCTCCTGGGCTCAAATCATCCTTGCCTCTGAAGCCTGAGTAGTTGGGACTACCTGAATAGTTGGGACAGGCGCGTGCCACCATGGCCAGCTAATTAAAATTTTGTTTTTTTGCAGAGACGAGGTCTCACTGTATTGCTCAGGCTGATCTTAAAACTTCTAGGCTCAAGTGATCCTCCCACTCTGGCTTCTCAAAGTGCTGGCATTACAGACATGAGCCACTGCAACCAGCCTAGTTTAATTATCAAACAGACAGAAGCCACTACGAAAACATTAGTGTTTCTGCAATGCATACTCAAAATAGGGTACCAAATGTCACCTTGGCAGTAAACAATACTTTCAACTGAATGGTTTTTCTTTTACTTGTATAAGTTATATGTTAGTGAAATTGGTCACGTTTTGCTTTTAACAGGGATCTGCAACCTTTAAAGAGTAATACAGATTCCAAACCCTTCAAAGCGTCAGTTTATAAACTCTGACCAGCCAGAGGAAGCAGGCAGATGACAGTATGTGCCAGCAAAATCTGATCCACATGCTATCTGGCATGCATCCTGGTTTGAACTCTTGTTTCACAGGATGATCACCAAGACTACTTTTAAAAAGAGAATAGTCATAGAGTAGCTCACTGTATTTAAGAAAAAAACGTAAAGCTCCTTTCCAAAGATTCCTACCTGAATGTATTTGAAGGCTCTTTTTGCTGATGGTTTGGAATAATCAAATAATTTAAGAGTATAATCCCTTGAACCAGAAGCCAGAATCTGTTCTGTTGGGTGGAAAGCGAGGCATGTGACTTCATCCACATGGTCATAAAGAGTTCGAATCACTGGGTGGTTTTCCATATTTTGTTGTGCGGTCTCATTCATCATGACCTAGACCAACAAGAAGAGATGCTCAAGGTACAAAACGTGTCTGAATCAAAGTACACAATCCACAACTGTGGCAACTAAAGCCGGTCTGAACATACTCTCATTTTCCAAAAATGAAAAACAGAAGGCAAGCAGTAAGTATGTGACTGGAATTTTTACCTCTATTGGCATGGCACTTTTGGCTAACATCCTCTCTGTGTCAAGTATCTTTATTGAAGCATCAGCAGACCCAGTAGCTATTAACTGTCCATCTCTACTATAGGTAGCTACACGGCATGGTCCCTTATGCGATGTGACATAGCATGTTTCATACTCAGAAGCCTCTGGGGACATAGTCTGGACATCTGCATCAAATTCCAGGTCAATCCCTGTGCCAGGGGCAACAGTATCTGAACGACCGATTGCATACTGCACTGCGGTGTCATCATTTTCCATTCCTGAAAGAAATAAAAAATTAAGGGCATAACAAGTGTGTGTGTTTTTTTTTTTTTCTTTTTTCAAGGCCAAGACAAAATTCTAAATCCAAACTGGAAAATGCTCACCAGTGTCAACTTCCTATTTCTTGGAGATGCATGACACCTAATGCTTTACAAAACTGTGTATAGTGCCCATGGTATTCAAAGTTCACCACACTGTGAGGCCACATGGGTTGCTGGAAGGTTAGGCTCCAACAGACAAAGTCATTTCCCAGTTCTTGCCTCCAGAATTTACTACTTTATCTACAACTACAGAAACTCAAAAAATAGCAGTTCTGTAGTTAAATTATCTACTTTTTTATTCCACATTTTAGTATTTTCAGGGTTGAGATGTGTTAGTAGCAGCTCTGATGCTCATTAAGTCAGCTACATTATTAATATGAATACTAGTGAAATGTATTTGAAAGTTGATATAAAAAAAATGAAGTTCATCAAGAATATGCATTTAAAATTTATAAATAACTTGACAAATCATATATTGATCAGTAGAGGAAAAATTAGAACTATGGATGAACAAGAAAATAAAAATGACCTTGAATTTTACCACCCAGAGATAATGACTGTTAACGTATTGGTATAAATTCTTCAGGACCCTTCCCATGCACAGCTGTTTTATTTTCAAAACAATAATAGACCAATGCTGTGTAACGTGCTGTGACTTACTTGTTCATTTAATCATGCAAAACATCGCTAATAAATATTCATCTTTATTATGCTGTAGTATTCCATTTTATGGATATTTAAAAATTTACAGCTAATTCCATGTTGTGGGCATTGCAGTTTATTCATTTTATTTCCCCAGAAGAAATGCTCACAATTGGCACTGCCAAGTCAAAGGGTATGAACATGTTTGGTAATTCAGTATTTTCCTGAGTGCTTTCTATTATTAGCCAGGTAGGCACCAAGATACACTGCTGAATAATACGAGGTCCCGATCCTTACTGAACTTGTAGTTTTTTCTGACAAGGGGGCAATGGGTGCAAAGTGGGGGGGTAAGGATCATACAGGAAACAACCCAAATGATAAAGGAAATTTCAAAGTGACTGTTATAAAATAAATGGGATCACTATGGTAGGGTAATTGGGAAAATGTAGAAAAGGGTCGGATTATTTCAGGAGGGGTGAAGACAACCCAGATGACATCTGATGTAAAATTTGAAGGAAGTCAGTAATACAACAACAGAGTGTTCCAGATAATGTGTATGAAGACCACCTGGCCAGAACCAGCTTAAAATCTTCATAATCTGAACTCGGCTTGCCCCTTACTTACTTACTGAACTACTTACTTACTCAAGTGCCCGGCATGTACTAGGCACTAAAACAAAACAAGAATAATCTTGAAAAATTCTGCCATTTGAAAACATCTAAAACCTTGCCACAGGATGTATAGATTTGCGTTCACCATCTACCTAGTTTGATGAGATGCAGGAGCTGCTCCGAGGGTGCACAGACAGACTGAGGTTTGATTTCATTGATGAGGCCATTGGCGATGCTGATGTAGCCGTCATACAGCAGCTGGCTAATGATCAGCTTGTAGAGCTGCTGGCGGTCCTTCAAGCCCACTTTGGTTCTGTACATCTTGGAGAAGAGGAAGACAGTTTCCCTGCCACCTGCAAAAAGGGAAAATGGATAGTGAAGGGTAGAGACTCTAGTAACTCACAGAAGCAACATAGGACTCTTTGGTCAGACTTAATGTTGCAGGACTCAGATCCCATCTCTACCAGCTTAATATCTTTGGTCATTTCTCTAAGCCTCAGGTTCTTCAGCTGCTGAGTTACTGGAAGTTAAACAAGGTGGTGCATACAAAGGCCTGAGCATAGTGCCTGGCATACAGAAATCATTCAAATCACATTAGCCAATATTTACGGTACAATCTTTCATCAACTTTTTTTCTCCATCAAACTACCTACCTATGATTCTTTATTGCTATCCCAGAATCTTCCATTTCTTCTGTTAATTAAACATTGACTGGTACCTGCAATATGCAAGACAGCTGCTATTCAAGGTCTGGACTGCTGGTTCCGCTAGCTGAGCTGTCTGTTTACTAATATCTTTTATGTTCATTCTGAAAACCTGTTTTAAGGCAACTGAGCTTGTTATTGTAATTATATAACCTAATTAGATAATCAAAATATGAGGCAAAAAAAGCAACTGGACTACAAAAGCTCAACTAAGTTGAATGCTTTAGAAAGACTCAAAGGTGAACTGCCCAATAAAATATTGCCAATAAACGTCAAAACAATAAAAATGAAAAAAAGAAAAAAAAAGTAAAAATCTGGAAGCATTGTGCATGCACTGATTTACAAGTGTCTAAGTTTTCCTTCAGTCTTAAAAGACAAAAAACTGTAAATGGTTACTGGTTTATTCAAAAAAGAACTCCAACTGTTGAACATGATAATTTGCTTACCAAAAATCAACGCCTTTATGTACATGTGTGTTTAAACCATATTAAAAGGCTACAGGTGTCTGGGGAACAGCAATAAAGAATAAAAGTGACCTCAGAGCCTGATTTTTTTTTTTTAATTTTAGTTTTTTCTTACTTCCTTTTTCAATAAGAGCCTGATTTCTTATACACTGTATGACATTGATGAATGTCAATAATAAACCCTTAACATTAAGCACTTCCTGCATGCCAGATACCATCATGCTAAGTACTTTGTAAGCATTAGTTCACTGAATAAAATCATTCAATGTATTCACGTATGTGAAGTGGTACATGAACAGGTCTATATTTGAGTAGAAAATCCTGGGACACAATAAAGATGAAATGAGTTCACGGATGTCATGACACCTACTCAAGATAAAAAGTGGCTGAGTTACTTATCCAAGGTTAAAAGACACCAGAATTGCCAACTCCGAGCCCTGAGCTTAACCACTGAAGGAGTTCAGGAAATGCCAGCCCAAAACGAGATGCTTTGGCAGGCCGATTACATTGAACTGTGCGTACTTAGAGAACAGTAGGTGCTTCCCTCACCTGCCTCAAGTCTAACCCTCCAAAAAAACCTCAATTGTCACGAATCCTGATTAACCAGGGAAGATTAACTCAAATCACATGAGACCAGAGGATCACCTAATTCTTCTGTTTGCATAACAAACTTTATTCACCATACTGTTCACCCTCCCGTAACTTTGCTACAGCTGGCCCACTCCCCCGCTCCAGCCCCACAATCCTCTATTCAATCCTCTCAGTAGCTCAGGATGCTATGGAAGCTTTAATCATCTGACTTCAAATTCTTAGTCTCGTATTTTGTGGGACTCATGTACGTAATTAAATATCGTTTTTCTCCTATGGACAATGATTAGTTGCACGAAAAAAAAAATGAGATTCTCAAGTAGCAATAAAGAATGAAAATCAGAAGTGGGTAGTATGGCGAGAAGAAAAGTTCGTGAAAGATTCTACTGTTAACGTCGGGTTAACGTGACTTGAATAATTTCCGTATGCCTGCTCAACGCTTTACCTGCACATCCTGTTTACTCTGCAGGAACTTACTTAACACTTAATCTGTCTTATGTCAATTTAACTCTGAGTCCTAACAAGGAACCCAGAAGGACGGAGGGAAGCCATTTTTGGTTCCCCTACAACACTATTTGAATCAGGTCTACCAGATCGGAAGAGCGTCGTCCATATTTAAGGCTA